TGTCTTTTGTCGACAATTTCTGCAATTTTGCAGAGAGATTTGTATATATTAGAGGGATCGATGCTGTTAAATTTTGGTAGTTAAAGTTCGAAGGGCTTGGAAAGATAGAGTCGTGTGTGTATCTCGAGTGGAATCGGACTTGACGAAGATTTTACTCGTTATTAGCATTGGAAAATTAAAAAGAACAAAAATAATAAAACTCGTCGCTACCCTCGAAATTAAGCTTTTTGTCATTTTATAATAATTAATAATATAAAAAGTTTAAAGCAAAATATCGTAACAGACGGCGCCACACGCAGTTTTAACTGTTGCCAGAAAAGTTACGGAACTCGTTGCTAAATTTTTTTTTAAATGCAATTTTAATAAATGCATTTTTGATAAGACAAAGAGAGCAATCGCTATTCGAATCTCACTTTTAAAAGTTCACGTTAGTCACTTAGATAAGTCACTTCGCTATGAAAAATCGGATGAATCTTTGCTTAAATGTGTGACTAAATGATAAATATTCGTCACTTCGCAACATCAATCATGATATTTAGACTTCAACTCTTCTTTCTAGTGACTTCTGACCTTTCTAAAAGGTCATCAAACAGGAGAACGATGCAATTCAAACTGTAGCCCCCAAAACCAGCGTTCTGTAATCTAAGATAAGCAATGTGTCATATTTTGACGCATCTTTACCAGTGACGTCTGTACTAACCAATTGCTTTAAATAGAGGAAGCACTACCATTTCTGGTCAAAATAACAATAGAAGAGAGAGGAAAAAACTAAAGATCGAAAAATGGCCGAAATGATGACTGAAGAAATTGATACCACATTCCTTACAGCAGACTCGATGTTATCAAGTGACGACGATGAAAGTTGTAAGTAAAAGTATCAAATAATAATTTATTCTGTACAAAACTTGTTCGTATGCCAGTGATCGAATGATCGATCACCACGTGTACTTTACTTGGCTCGATCGATCTTCCGTTAACTTAAATCTAGTTATAACAATTTGCTGATGATCGATTTAATTCTTATTCGTTGTCGTTTTCTTTGTGTTTTTTTATTGTGTAAGGAACAATACATACTTGCCAACCTTTTGAATGGGGAATAGCTGGGACATTGATAAAAAAAACTCTGACAGCATAAAATGCGAGAAAATTATTTATTAATATTGATATTGCGCAACGCTTCTATTAAATACCTTCAATAAGCAGAATTTAATTTTATAATTCTGTCTGTTATATGTCTTTGTGCGACGTTTTCTCTTTGTTAATAATTTCTTTAGTTATAGTGTACTAGTGACATTTTCTATCAATCAGTTTATCGACATTTACTGCAATTAAGGACAATGATTTTTCCGGTTGTGATTTACTTCCTATCTCTGTCTTATTTTTTCTTATCATACTGAATATCTTTTAATTTTGCTACATAGCAATACTGGGGAGATATTGCAATGCTGTGTGGAAAAATCATCTATTTTACAATTTCAGTTTAGATTAGAAGTTATATATAAAGCAAAAAGAAATAGAAAAAACTAATGACAAATGCAGGAGTACAGTACTTCGTACTTCGAACGTTCCAGACAGTGCCGTAACTAGCCATTCCTGTGCCCTGTGCAAGAATTTGCGATTAGGCTCCTGAATTAATTAGGGTTGGGAAAATAATAAAACAAATACACGCATTTTGAGCTCCCCTTCCAAGTGATCCCTGTGCGGGTGCACATGTTGCACCTGCCTAGTTACGGCACTGGTTCCAGAGTGCAAACGATGTATTTTTTATATTTAGGTGTATACCTTTATATAATTAATGTATGATTTTCGGTCATACAAAATGTTGGAACCACATTTTTGATTGAGACATTAGAATATACACAGAGTTGGAATTCAATTAAACGGAATTAGGATTAGCGAGACGAATGTGTAATAGTTTCTATACGACTTCAGCTTAAATGCTTTTAAGTACAGTATAATCTATGTTGTACACATATATAGGCCTACATATTTTTTATATGTAAGCTCATGTGCGTACGAGTGGAAGAAGAAAAGATAATTGTCCTGACATATGCCCATGTCTAAAGCCTATGTACTGTACACAGTTAACGATGAACTTAAAATATACAGTAATTTCGTTAGCCATCGTTAAAATCGACATTGATAACACCGATGGTCTCGTTTCAATAACTCGTAAATTCCAGAAACTTACTTTTTCGGAAGGAACAAAAATCTAGCAACGAGTTGTATAACATTCCCAGCAAAAAATTAAAATTTAGTGTGCGCCATCTGTTACCAGATTTTATTTTAATCGATCGATTGCCATTCTTTCCCTCTGTTAAAAAAAAAACTAACACAAACGATTGTATTTTATTTATACTTCAAGTTTTATTTTAAAAGAAAAGTAGAATAAAATATAACAATAGCTAGACATTTATAACGAAATTAATAATAACAATATAAATAATAATATGAAACAATTCTCAGACAATTAAAGTGGAGTATTTGCTTTTCAGTTGACGTTTCTATGCTTCAGTCAGAAAAAAAATCATCTCCTATTCGATGTTCAACCCCAATACCCGAAAAAGGCTGGTTCGATTACGACGAATTCATAAAAAATTATGAAGAACTGAAATCCAAGTGTTTACAAGCACAAAATTCGGATGATACAGAAGAGGAGAAAAAGAAACATTGTTCAGTACTATTATCACATTACAAATTATTCTCAACTATGCCGAGGGATTTAGGTTATGAACTCCGACGCAAGCTCAAAACCTTAGAAATGAAATTTAAGCTGAAAAATTTCAAACGAATGTATAATAACTTTGCGAAATCGAAAGAAAAACGTCAAAATTTAAGCTTTGAATCCGAAGACGATCTCGAGAATCCATCAACATCTGCAAAAGTGAAATAAAAAGTCACTTTCACCGTTCTTTATAAAGCAATGTTCAGTTACTTAAGATATTTTGTAACTAGTGTTACTGATGTATTAAAGGTATACCTTTTGTAAGTTTTGTTATTTTATATTTTATTTCGTGCTTAGAAATTATTTATATGCCATTTAGTAACAAGAAATTAACAATTATCTATACTGGCTTATTAAATAGCTAGCAGATGAGGCCGACATGTCTCGGGCAAAATATAAAAACAAGCATTAAGATTATTTCGTACTTCTACCTTTCTATTATATTACATTATATTATATTATTTGATTTAATACAATTGCACACACTTACGACTAAACAATCGCAGCTATTAAAAAATTGCAATCGGTCCTATTTTCGCTGCGACGCGACTGTCGCTGAAAAAATAAATCACAGAGACGGGAATGGACATGTTTAGTACCCACTTGCGACAGTTTTGATGCAGTATACAGTCGTGTTCTGGTCATTATATGTTATTAATGGACCAATTATTCCCAACAATATATAAGGGCGATCTTTGTACTTTGGAACACTTTTTTTAAACCTTTATAATTTCAGTTCAAATTGATCTTTAGCTACGACTATTGAATATTTCTATTATTAATTGATAACATCACTATATATGGCGCAACACGTGATCCTATGCTATTTCATTTATGAGAAAATGTCAAATAATTACTTACAGATATTTGTCCCGAGGTACAATCACGGATCGCACTTCGGGACACCAATGTTTGTACAGTACATAGCGCTTGCGTGAAATCGAAAGTGTTACTTTGTGAAAAGTCTATAGTAAGTCTACAAGTATGTATTTTCCACATCTAACAACTCGTGTTTTTTTCATTTCTGAACAGTAGTTCTAATATGAAGTCCAATAAGTGTCGTCCAATAACCGAGTTAATAGAATCACTGAACTCTGGTAGTTCGTGTGTAGTGGGTTTGGGCATGGCCAATAGTTACTAACTTCACGTGGCCAGCCCGGCCACGTGGATTTTTTCGGGTTTTCTTCACGTTAGTAACACCTACAATCCAGCTTTCCATAAAAGTCTTCCGGGGATGCATCTCCCTCGGCACACCGCTCGCGTGTCACGTTGCCCTAACCCAGGGGTCGGCAACCTTTTGAGTCGGAAGAGCCAAAAATTACAATTTACAAAATTTCAAAGTTTTTAAAGAGCCACAAAATTTTTTCTTGCCAACAATAAATAGTACTCGCATAAATAAAGTTTTTTGATAAAAAAAAACTAATCTATTTATTCAGAATTGTCTTGAGTCGAAAGCGAATTAAACCTCATAGAAACATCCGACGACGGCGTCATTCGAGAGCTTCCGACAGACTGACAACAGTGATGACGCGTGTCACGGGGGAGGGGTGCGATGAAAAGCGAGTACAAGTGGCTGAGAGATAGAATCGGTGCCGAAACCTCGTTAATCGATTCAGAACGATTTTTAAATGTTTTTTTTTTTTTTTTTTATAAAATAAATAATATTTGCGTATGGAACTAAAGAGCTGCATGTGGCTCGCGAGCCGCAGGTTGCCGACCCCTGCCCTAACCAAATAAACTAAACTAATTCTAACCAGCGATTATTTGTTGTCACATCTTAACAATGCCGGCTGCAACTTTTCGTCACAATGTTCTCAATTCTTTTAGTAGTTGTCAATTTTCATGCCTCTCTACATTATACTTCTCCTTTAACAATAGAGTAGTGCCGGTTATCTAACTCCATTTAGAAATAAAATTTTGAATTAAACTAACGTGACTTTCGATTTTCATTGGAATGCTCCTAAGTGTATCATATTTGGTTTCGACTTTTATCTATCTAACTCCTTTCTTGAGATTAAGGAAGGACAGAAAAACACACAGTAGACGACAGTCGGAATTTATAGGTCTACAATTTTGCATTCCAATAATTTTTCTATAAACGCAATATTTACGACAACATACTTCCCACGTAGTTTATACAATTTGTTGCCAAAATTGAAACACTTTATTATCACATAAAAGGAATTATTTTACATTTTTAATAGATGACCAGCACGACTCTATTGTTAAAGGAAAAGTATGATGTACTGTACAGTACTGTACTGTACCAAGGCCACTTGATCGCTTCGCTAGTAAGGCCGTCCGCCGTAAGGAAAATTGCCGTATTCACACTGTTTCCATTTTTTGCCGCTGCGAAAGATTTTGGCGCTAGTTATCGGTGAGAATCGTCTGTTGAGTAAATTGGTCGTTTTGTACTTATGTGTGCGAGTATAGCTATTTTATGAAATTGTGATAATTACATATAGTTATAGTTGTATTTAGTTATACTTATTCGTGAGTTATATACGGTTGACGGGATTTCTCTTCAACAGCAGCTTGGTATATAGATATAAATACATTCATTGTGTGGTCAAACTGTGGAAAAAGTTCTCAGACTGCATCATAAGCCCATTTCTAGAAAAATATTAAAAGTCTAATGTTGTCTAATTCATATTGTAAATTTCTGATGAGGAGGAAGCTAAGTACATTTCTGGTCTTTGACTGAATTTTACAAACTGTAAAATTCAGTCAAAAACAGTGTACACTTTATTCAATAAATTAATTTTTCTTATGTAATAAGCTTTTGCTTTTTCTATAAAGAATTTTATTTATATTAGAGATGTAAACTGAAGCAATGTTACTTTTACCATAGTTATACTTTTAATTTCAACTTTAAAACAATATATGTTGCTTTTGTTCACATTTCTGTGTACTTCTCCAATATTAATTATAATAAGTTCGGAAATATGGTGATATTGAAGGTAACTTCAATATCACATATTTCCGTGCATATTTTTCGAAATTTTTTTACTAACTAAAAACTTTGCTTATTTTTGCAAAAAAAAAAGGAAATTTTTTCGAAAGGTTATATCGGTATTTATTCTTACAGTCTTGATTAACAAAAGTAATAATTTTATAACAGATTTAATACACAACATTTTAATAATTATCATATATGGTCCGAAAATGTGAAAATTTTTATAGTAGACAGTGCATACTGTAGGTAACCTAGTTTTACTAATTTTGCATACTTTTCGAGTAAAAAAAAATTTACATTAACGATTAACTACTGGTATCTTTAAGAATCGAAAAGAGATGATTAAATAGTATTAATGTGAAAAAGTTTGTATTTTCCATGCCAATAATACTCAGTTATTATTTCTTCCTAAAAACGTCTTATGAAAATAAAGTGAAAAATACTGTTATTATTATTTCGCTTTTTTCACAAACTAGGGAACATCGTTTGCAGCAGCTCATTTCTTGATTGTCAAAAGTTTTCAACCTGCTTTAATGAGAAAAATATTTAAATGCAGCGACGTCTCCAAACTCCTCTATACTCTCCACCTGAATCGCTGACGATGGATGTCACCGATCGTCAGCGCCACAAGCGGAGAAAATATTAACTAGCGTCTATACGCTCGGTCTCATAGAGAGAGATAGTTGGCGGACGGCCTTACTAGCGAAGCGATCAAGTGGCCTTGACTGTACTGTACTATATGCCCAGTGGCGTACCGTGGGTGTCAGCCGCCCGGGGCGGAGAAAAATTTCGGCTTCCCTTATTTAGGTATTTCAATTTAAAAGACCAAAATTCAGTTTTGTCACAGAACAAGCATTGAAAAATTCGGTGGTAGTGCAGCGACCTGTCTAAAATAGTTCTAGTGGATATTAGCGGTGTATATGAACGGGAATGGATCGTACACGCAAGAAAAAAAAACAAAGCGAAAAAGTCAAAAGGTTGCAAGAACTCCTCGGATAAAAAGTTACTAGTTCATCCAGCGAGCCGCTTCCCGGACTGTCCGGACGATAGCACTATCGTAGGCGCGATGCAAGTATAGATTAGGATGTTTGAAAATTTTACAAGTTATTATTATTTATTGTGAAATTTTACTGCCCCATAAAAAGTGCCGCCCATATCGCCGAGCATGATTCTATTGACGTTCGAAACGCCATTGTCAAACTTCTAGACTCACAGGAAGGCGGCACTGAACTTCCGACGTACTGTACATGTTTTCGCGTTGAAAACGTCGGCCGCAACCTCTGTAATAATTTTAAAAATGATCTTCTTATAGAAAATGAAATATTCCACTTTTAAATCATATCTAACTGTAATAAATTTATATAGTATATACTGTATTACTTTATTATTTATGTTTTTACGTTTTATTTTATTTGTGAAAACATTTTTTTAATTTAAATACTATCTTAACAAGAAATAAAATGTGCGATAACAATCGAAATAANTGAACGGGAATGGATCGTACACGCAAGAAAAAAAAACAAAGCGAAAAAGTCAAAAGGTTGCAAGAACTCCTCGGATAAAAAGTTACTAGTTCATCCAGCGAGCCGCTTCCCGGACTGTCCGGACGATAGCACTATCGTAGGCGCGATGCAAGTATAGATTAGGATGTTTGAAAATTTTACAAGTTATTATTATTTATTGTGAAATTTTACTGCCCCATAAAAAGTGCCGCCCATATCGCCGAGCATGATTCTATTGACGTTCGAAACGCCATTGTCAAACTTCTAGACTCACAGGAAGGCGGCACTGAACTTCCGACGTACTGTACATGTTTTCGCGTTGAAAACGTCGGCCGCAACCTCTGTAATAATTTTAAAAATGATCTTCTTATAGAAAATGAAATATTCCACTTTTAAATCATATCTAACTGTAATAAATTTATATAGTATATACTGTATTACTTTATTATTTATGTTTTTACGTTTTATTTTATTTGTGAAAACATTTTTTTAATTTAAATACTATCTTAACAAGAAATAAAATGTGCGATAACAATCGAAATAAAAAATTTCTTTCCATGAAAAGAAATATCGTCTGCTTACAAAATATTATATTATCGTCAAAACTTTATTATCGGCTGCTTACAAAATAGCGAAACTGAGCATGCGCGAAGTGACAGTATCGTCTGGTAAAGTAAATACTGTACGAGTAAGTTCAAACTTTTATATTTATTTATTCGGAAAATAATAATAAATGTAGCCGTTGTGATAAATGGGCACATTGTTCTTGTGCCAATATTGAAGAAAACGACAGTTTAACAATTTTAATTCGTTTTTCTTTCCCCTATAGTATTAATATAATTTACAGTTAAATGTAAGTAAAACTACACATTTTAATTTATTATTTAAGTGAGAATAAAATTACATACTCACCATAAATGTAAAAGGTAATGTCTTAAGTATAAATACTGAAGGTTTGTAATGAGAAACTTTGGTGGTTTTTGACAATTTATTAATGTGTTGAAGTACAGTAGACTCTCCCATATTAGAAGTTATATGGGCGGGAGTGATCCGAATATTAGAAAAATTCGAATAAGGAGGGTGATCATTTTTAAATAAGACTAACATATATGCTTACTGTATGTATAAGAAATATTTATTCTGACTTTGACGCTTATTTTGGATAATTATAATAATTCGAAAGGATTGTTTGTTGTCGATTGGTTGACAAGATACTGTACAGCACATCACGCCAATGCCTCATTGATGCATTCTGCTCTTCTACAAACTTTAAAAAATGGAAAATGTACACGCTACATTAGAGGAAGGTAAGATTAGGAGTCTGCTGTACTGTACAGTACGTTTATATGCGGCAACGCGCGACACGTGGGCATTTTGCCAAGGGCCTCCCTAGGAACTTTCTATGGAAAACTGACTATTTTGCGGGTGTTTTTTCCATTAAAAAACCCGCGAACTCCATCGGCCAGGCGCGAAACCACGATCAACTACCAGTATTCGATGGTTCCCAGTGTAGCCCGAATCCAAATCACTTCTTAGCTCGATATTTCCAAATAACCGAGTAAAATGAGACAACGATGTTTTAATTAATAATCACGACTACGCCATCCATTTTGTAGTTTTTCTCCGTCCATATTCTTACATTTTAACTTTTGTTTTATATTTATTAATTAAGAAACTAATGAGGATTTTTTTAAATCAAATTTATTACTCCTTAGATAAGTAAACAGAACAAACTGTTTCAAATTTCTTTATTGTCGATGACAAACACGAATAAAAAGTAATACAATAAGAGCCATTTTTAAAACAAAAAATCACAAAAATGTCTGCAATAATACATATATCGTCGATATCAATTAAGTTTGAAAGGAAGAATAATCGGTCATATTGGATTTTAATAGGAGGATCATAAAAAGTGAAAATTAGAAATGAATTTTCATTTGCCTTGTTTCTTTCCACGTTTCCAGACGTTTTCAGAAACATGGTTGTCAATAAGGTCAGGTACCGGTACTAACAGGTTTTTGATCGCACTGCGCTGTGGTATTTTTCTATTAGTTCTTTAAGTTCAATTTTGAGTTCAAAACGTAAATCGCGCGGCAATCCTGTAAACGGTTCCGTAAGCAACAGAACAAATTTTCTTGTCGGATGATCTGCATCTGATTTTAATTCAGGATATAAGTCTTTCGAATATGGAGGCGAAAGTTCAGGGAATTTGTTAGGCCAGAGAGTTGACTCTGGAGTCTTCTGTTTGAACTTCTGTAAGAAGTTAGATGGTTTTCGAAATCAGAATTTCTTTTAACATTTGGATATATAAAAAGATGTAGACACTTTTCTATCCAATCTTTGTAGTCCATAAACATTGGTACTCCTTTGCACATATTCTGAATCTCAGCACTTCTATCCCCTAAAAAACAAATAAATTTTACTTAATTGTGTGTGAGAAACGCTTTGTGTTACGTAATTATTATTTTTGGTTAGCTGTCTGATGTATTGCCTTTAATTAAAGTTAAACACGGTAAACGTTGTCATATTAAAAATTAAATTATTGAATTTTATGAAAAAAAAGTATAAATAATCCAATATCTCTTAATCCCGGTTAGATAAGCCGTGTCGAAGGATCTGCCCAAAAAATTGTGAATCCATAGTTGGGCTTTGAATATCTCTGACTCAAGTTATACTCCTCATATGCTATTTGTCTTCGGAAAATTGCTTTGCATTTATATCTTTTTACCATTGTTTCAAAATCGCGTTGAAATTCACTAAATAAAGCCGTCGGAATTTCACGAATTAATGTTGTAAGTAACAACAGAAACTTTCTGTTTAAATCAGATTCTGTCTCCTCCTTTTCTTTAAAATATCGAAGTGGAACTCCCAGAGCAAGACATGCCGCAAATTCTTCTTCCTCGATTATTTTAACTTCCGGTCGTCTTCCGCTTGTATTTAAGGATAGGATCTGATCTTTTGCCCAATGATCAAATGACGTTAAATCTAACTCTGTAAGCAGAAGTTACTTAAATAGAAAACAAATACATACAAACATTTAAACAGAAAAGAATATAAGGTACCACACACGTTAAGGAAAACCTTTGAAGAATAAAGGCTTAGGCCTGGCCTTCAGGAATTCCTGTTAATGTGTGGGGGAAAGCTGCACAGTTTCAGTGAAATGTACAGGCCGCCGGAGTAGAAACGAAGCTATTTGATTTTTTTTAAAGATTTACGAAAGTGAACCATGCCTTTGGAATGTTAAAAGTAAAAATTGTACACATTTTACACGATATAATTGTGTTTCGGACCTGTTGGTGGCATCAGCAGGTTTACAGCCAACAATTTCTAAAACAAAGAAGAGTGCAGTGAAGAAAGAGTACAATGCTCTGACGCTGCGAGAAAATTTACTGCAGTTGGTAGTAAGGTTTTTCGTAAAATTTCTCAAAAAAACAAGTCATAAACTTGAGAACCACTGTCGGAATCATTTCAAAACATATCAGTTAAAAAATACTACAAAGCCTGCAGTTCAACCATTATTTATTTTTGAAAAATTCAATTAAAAAAAGCCATTTATCTGCTGGAAACATACGCCACAAGATAAGAGTTGTGTATCAGACGTAAGCCGTATTCATTATTATTCGGTAAACCAAAACACTGTAAACTAAAAAAAAAAAGCCGTAACAAAGGCCCTTTTTGCCAGGCCTTTACGAGTTACATAAACAGGAGTTTTATTATATTGATCGCTCCCGAAATTCTAAGTTTTGGAAACATCTATTATTAAGGTCTCTTCTAAAATAAAGTAAGAGAAAACGCATGATTACAAAGCATAAATTTCTACTCACCATCATTAACTTTCTTCTGTGGCATAACGTTTTCCCTCATAGATAGTTCCCAAAATTTTTTTCCAATTTCAGCGTAAAATTTTTCATCTTCTTCGGCTGAATTTCTTGCTTCATGACTTTTTCTTCCGTGTACGTCGACGCTCATGATTCTCTTGAAAAATTACGATCGATGAAATATCACAACCACAATGGACGAATGCCGGAACGGGAATGACAGATTTCCGAAGTTTGTAACTAATACCACCATAGTATCGACATCTGGCGGTGTTAACTTAAACTATAATTATTTTGTTATCTAATGATTAATGAGATTTGTTTTAAAATTTTAAAATAAATAAATGAGTAAACATTTTTGTAAATTTAGAATCATTTTAAAATATTAGTTAATTAGTAAAATTTGTGTCTAAACAAGTATAAAAGGTTAATAAATATTTGAAGACAAAGTCCTCCCAAGAAAGGAACCTCCATTTATTATTTTCGCATTCTGGACTATACAATCTTGGCGACTGACCTTTCATTGTAGGCTGCTGGCCGCCAAAAAGTCCTTTTAAAATCACAAAAATACATCCAGTAAAAAATACAAATTTTTTTTAAAAAGGAATTATGGCATATGGACGTCTTCTAGTTACCATCATACATTGTTGGGGTTGTTTCGGCCTTTTATCTACTTGGAAAATGAGCGCTGGTAAATGTAGATTAAAAAACTGCTCCCCCCCGTGACGATACTTTTCAGACTTCCTTGTAAATTTTTCGTCCGATGGAAATAATTATAATTAAATAAATATCTGAGGACTTTTTGGCGGCCAGCAGCCTACAATGAAAGGTCAGTCGCCAAGATTGTATAGTCCAGAATGCGAAAATAATAAATGGTGGTTCCTTTCTTGGGAGGACTTTGTCTTCAGATATTTATTTAATTATAATTATTGCCATCGGACGAAAAATTTACAAAGGTATAAAAGGTTACAATAGTCAACGAGTGACACGACAATATACCCTTTTAATAAAATCCATTTTTTACATAGATCATGTAGTCTATTTTCTGTAAATCCTATGTTTTAAAGTGACTCTACGGTTTGGAAAGAAGTAAATTATGAATACAATACAACACAAAAGATTGTTCGTAACATATGTCATTTGATACAGAATTAAAAATTTACATAGATGATGGATGGAAGGGGGCAATTAGACAGCCAAATTCAGTGTAAAAAACGTGGCGATTTAATAATGAAAATTACTTAATTATCCCGAGATCACAACTTCGTCGTACACAAAGGGAATATTTTGAACAATTTTCTATATTTTTTAGGTCTTTTATGCAAACCAGAACGTTCTTTTAAGCGTCGGAAACAATTTTTTCTTGAATGTAAGTGGTGTAAACGAAAAAATTATCGTTTTGTAAGAAAAATTCGAATGCGCTGTCGTAGAAACGCACGTTCCACCAGCAAAAATTTGTTGATGTATCGCCGCATATCGTAATGTACTGTACTTTGAAACTTGGAGATGAGTACATGTGGAAAACCTAATTCTAGTGGAGTTAGCATCTGTTTGCTGTATGGTTAAATAGTTGACGGTTGTTTTAAATAATGGATAAGGTAGTCATCATTCAAAGGTGTACTGTACGTGAAATTCTTATCTATGTACAGTACTGTACATTCATTTGTCTAAAAAGATGTACAATTAATGACAATGCATAACTTGTGTGGCGAACGCCGCCCTTCACATCTGTACCCTTAACGGTTGTAAAATACAAGCAATTACCCCCGGGCGTATGAGTCATCACTTTCGGGAATAAATTCGAACTCACCCCACAAACACCGTCGAAAATCAGTTGTCTTTGTTAGCCGCGTCGTTGAGACATGCGTCTTTATTTCTTCTCGCTGTACCAAGTACGCGAGAAGAAATAAAGTTTATAGTTTTTGTTACGATCTCGTCTCGTTCGTTTCTTTCACTCGCAGCGACGAAAGATAAAGGCAACAACAACGACACCCACACCAGATTGAACCCCGGTTGTTAGGTTTTCACACGTGGTAAACACCTGACCCAACATTGTTGATGGCCATTAATAAAACTAGGAAATTATCTCCTTTAAACATTAAATTTTAATGATTATAGTTGAAAAAAATGAATATTTTGTTAATTATAGTTTTTAACAAAAGATAATTGGAAATTTTGAGAAAAAACTTTTATAGAAGTTTTCATCCAGCTTCAAATCATGAAAGCTTTCGTAATTTAACGGTGAAAACAGAATATTGAGAAAACTATCTGCTAGCAAACGGAGATGGGAAAATATTTTAAAAACGATAATAAAATGCAAATGGTCAAGCTCTATGAACGGGTCAAGGACAGATTTGGTCTTTGTGTAGGAGGAAAGTTGTAATTTTACTAATTTACACAAGTATTTAATGTATAAATACCTGAAATTTATTACAGTGCCCGTATTAATCACTTAGTTCATAACATATATATATACACTTTAATTAGATTTACGTCACAATTAAATTTTTTAAAATTAAAATGGTTAAAATCGATTAAAATAAATTTTTGTAGCAAACTTTAGCAGATATTTTATATTTCTGTGAGATCCGGAATTTTGGTGACGGAAATATCGCTCTTTTATTAACAAAAATTGTTAATTAATTAAACTTTTGTTTATGTAACGCCTTAGTAGAAAAAACGATCTTGCCCGGGATTGTGTAAACTTTCCGGTCTTAAGTAGCAATATCTATTGTTCTCTACAGAACTTGCATCTCATCTTGCAGAAAGGTTGACAGTTAGCATCCAAATTTCGTCATTTGTTGTATATCCCTGGAACACCTATAACCCCTAACCTATGTACATCCGATCACGTGGTGGAAATTCCCCACTAAAACGGATAAAAGGCCGTTCTTACCCCCTCTCAGGGGAGTCTATTACTGAACGCAGGATTAACAACATCGTGCCGATCTTTCGAACCAGCCGAAATCCGATCACTGATGAAAATTACCAGCCGAAATACGATCACTGATGAAGTTAAATGAGCGCTTAAGTCGCGATTTTATATAATTTGTGCCGTATTTGTGGATTATTCCTTGGATCGATATTTTAAAGGCATCCACGTTCAGAATCGTCAAAGTGGACGGCTATAAGAGGTATGAAAGCACTGTGAAACTCTCTCTCTCGTATAGAAACTTTAGGTCGGTATAGAGCTTTGTGTAGTATTTGTCAATTTGCCTACTCTTAATAAATTGTTATTTTATATTTGTTAAAATAATGGTAGACTCTTTTACTCGATCTCGCCCTTCACCCTATCGTCGACCCCCAATCACCTCTCTTTACACTCGCCTGACCTCTTATCCTGACCATTGAACGGGAGCCTTACGCCCCCGTATTCACATCTGTTTATTTTATTTACAGAATTCTATTTTAAAAATAAATATTCTATTATCTCCTGTGTAAATTACTATTCAAAGATTGAAACAAACGTGCAAAGGCTTTCGTAAATATCTCGTGAATTATGTTTCTAAATTCCTACTGATAAAACTAATTGATAACATTAAAATTGACGTTGTTAAAATATTTGTTTAAACGTGTATTTGCTTCGTGGACATTGACAAAGCACTAATTTCATTTTACGTCATTTTGGTATATCTACAGCAGACATAAACACCTTTATTCTTCTTCCTACGGCTTTGAAAGAAAAAATAATAGGCTATACATCGATGCATTCAGAACTGCAACTAGAACCTAATAACTACTATATTTTGTTTTTAGTTCCTATTGGCGTAGTATTCCTTAAAGAAGAGCAACGAATAAAGTGGTTCCTCGACTCTCGGGTGTTGTACAGGATATTAATGATCTTTTTTAAAGCGTTAATTGCTTATTTAAGTTAATTTTATGTAGTTGTATCGAAAAGTTGTATCGAAACTTTTGCCCGTTCAGTTTAAGCTGCGTAATGTGATAGGGTATTCAACTTTTCCTTTACAGAGATTAATTTACACAATTTACAGAGTTCTTTATACAGTTATGCCATATTGAGTCGGAGCGAACCTACAGAAAATGATCGACTTCGCAAGGTTCTTGTGGGGTGAACACGAACAAAGTTTGAAGACCTTTGTGACAATTAAAATTAACATAAGGAAAACACAAAGATAATAAATAGTAACATTACGTTACATTAATGATGACGGTTACACTTTTTCTAACGCCTTTTTCTGTCCATATTGTTATATTTTAACTCTTATTTCTTATTTTATATTTATAAATAAACCGAACTGAATATTCATCGAATTTACGACCGAAAAAATAAGAACAGAACAAGTTATTTGCACTTTCTTTATTGCGAAAAGTCAAAAATGGACAAAGAGTAAAATAAAAATCACTTCTAAATAATAAAAAAACAAACATTTCGGAAAAAATACAATAAATTGACGTGCAAATTACTCAGAAACTAATACATTAAAGAATAAAAATAAATACAAAATTAGGCAAATTAAATTTTAAGGATGAGGATATCTCATGTAGGAAATTGGAAATGGATAATCAGAACGTGGACATAAATTTTCATTTTCCTTGTTTTTTTCCACGTTTTTTGATGTTCTCTCTGAATCAACTCTGGATCCATTGCCAGGATATGAATATTCGCCGGAACGTTTCGCAGCATTACTCATTCGTATCAAATGCTTCTCCATTTGATATTTATCTATCAGTCTTGAAAATTCTTTCATGAGTCCGTAACGTAAATCCTGTGGTAATCCTGTATACGGCTTTGATATCAATGTAATAAATTCTGAATGCGGGCAGCTTGAAACGGAATCTGATTCACGATCTAAATTTCTGAAATCTGGATGTGAAATCTTGCAATATTCGGGCCGTTGGATATCTCCAGAAAGTTCATCTTCGGGTCTTCTGTTTGCACTTGAACAATCAGTTGGGTTTTTACTAAAACCAGGAAACGGTTTTATATTTGAAAACATGCGTTTTCTTGAACCTTCTTCGTACATAAACACTCTTTTATCTTTTCGTGCATTCTGGCTCTCGGCACTTCTATTTTCTAAAAAACAAAACAATTTAACTTAAACTGTGTGTAAGAGATGCTTCGTATCTAGATAAATAAATGAATAATAATTACTTAATATGAAATTTATATATTTCGTTCGGTTATTGTCTGATGTATTGCTTTTAAGTTAAACACGCAGACAATTAATTACTCTGTTATATTTAGGAACTGAATTATTGTATTTTATAAGGAATAATTAAAAATAATCTTTTTTAATCCCGCATATCTCCTAGCTGTTTCGGATTTTAACAAAGACAAAGGTGCTGTGTCTTTTACCATCTCACATAAGGAATTCATTAGAAGTAATACACTTAGGATAGATACCTCAGTATTCACCAGTACGAGTTGAGTAATCTGTAAGAAATTATTCATAGTTTCTCTCTAGGATCCTGTCAAAAATAGAAGCTACTATAAAACCTGCACGATTTCATTTCATTGACAATTCTTGAAAAACACAAGAATAATTGACTGAAATAATCAAACCTTTCACGTGTCTTTCATTTCAATGTGTGTCCTTATTACGTTAATCTCGGGCATGTCTGCTAGGTAATTTGTGTATTAAAATTACGTAAGAAGCATACAAATTTGTAATAATTAATAGAAATGTGATTAAGGATTAGAAAATTTCGTATGTTCTTAATTATTACGAAGTTAAAAAGGAATGACATCAAAGAGTTGAGTGGGATGGTTAGGTTTTGTGAGAACACGAATTTTCCATAGAGAGCTACAATCAATGTGTGTTTTAACAATAACAATTGTGTGTTTTAACTTGCAATAGCAGAAATACTTAGAATACTGGACTCGTTAGAATAAAATGATTTAATTATAGCTACGGCTCCTAATTGTAAATCAATTGGAAAAGATTGAGAGAGTTAATTATTAAAAATATGTTTACAAGGTGTTACCAACTCATAAATAAGCAATCTAATTGAATGTCACAAGTCTACTCTGGGTAGAATTATTAAAAAATGCAAGGAAACTGGAAAAACACATGTGTAGCCAAGATAAAGAAGACCATGTTATATCAGAAAGACAGAAGATAAGTTTCTAAGACATCTTATAACAAGTCTCAGGAAAAATTCAACTAAAATGTCAACTAACAAATGGAACAAAACAACTAGAATTATTTATGAAAAGACAACAAGGTGGGGACTAAAAGATATGGACTATGTTTTCAGTTAAATATTACTTTTCTGACAATGAATATATTTATCAACAGAATAATGTCTCTGTCCAAACAGTCCTGAAAACGAAATCATATTTAAGTTTGAATATTTACCATAAGGTAGAGACGAAGTATTTTCGTTGTGTCCCTCCGTTTTTCTAGACGTCGAAGGACCCGTCGAAGCAACCGTGAATCCATTATTGGGCTTTGGGTATTCCTGACGCCAATTTCTTTCATTAGGTAGTTGATTTCGTCGCAAAAATGCTTCCTTCTTATATCTGCTTATCGTTTCTTCAATCTCGCATCGAAATTCATAAAATAAATCCTTCGGCATTTCCCGAATTAAATTTAAAAGTGTAAACAGAAACATTCTGTTTAAGCAGAATTCCGCCTCCTCCTCTTCAAGGCAACCATAGGGTTCGTCTGAATTTAAAAATCGAGTATCGGAAAATCTCATATTTTTAAAATACGACAAAATCTCTTCCTGCGTGACGTCGTGGTTTGGAGGTCTTCCGCTCGTATTTGAGGATGGAACTGGATTATTTTCTCCAGGTTCGAATAATGATGCATCTTGTATCTGACACCGATTTCTGAAATCGTCGTTTAATATATCATGGCGTTCATCATAAACATTTCTATCCTCTGAAATAAAAAAATATTTCTCTATTTAATTTGAAATATCTTCATTTTTTAATTATATAATTAAGCTTTTTAAGAATTGAATATTCAAAGTTGTACTCGTTGTCGTCGAGGGTTTGAAATTTGGCACATTAACGCAAGTGTATGTATACGCAAGTAATGCATACATTCAGAGAAAATATTTTTTACGTAATAAAATATTAAGCCGCATAATTTGTTAGTGCAAAAGTCAATATTAATTAGTCGTAGATTAGAGAAATTAGTATAGTTTATTAATTATCACGATGTTGCATTGTAATATCTTCAGTGACTAACAGATATTAATATATACCGATGCTGCAAGAGCTAGTTATTTTATTGTTTTGCATATTGCCCTATTCTTTCTTACTTAAGAACGTTTTTCAAGTTCTTAATTATATCCGAAGACACCTAATCGCATAATCAAGTGTTTGGTCGTTATCCATTATATAAATAAGACGTCAACGTTCTTTTAAATACATTTAAATCAGAAAGTTAGTAGAGTAGTGAAGCCATGGGATACAATGCATCAGGCCCTTTTATTCTTTCTTTTGACGAGGTATTCTAACTTTATTATATTTATTTTGTTTTCCTTCACATTCGAAACTACATGAAGTAATTTTCTAGCATTTATAACCACTATACGCAGCTGTAGCTCTAGGGAAAGGCCTAGAGCTACAGCCTCCCTCACCTTTGATGCTTCTGTTTATCACAGTTACTTGTTCTTGTTTACGTACCAGCCAGAGCCGTAACTAGGCAGGTGCAACAGGTGCACCCGCACAGGGCCCACTTGGAAGGGGGGCCCAAACTGCTGTTCGCAAGAAATTATATTTTTAAATTTTAAATTTTTCCGTCTTTTTACAGCGCGGTTTGGCGATTACATTTTGCCTTACTTAGACCCTAGATGTCTACTCACCGGTTTCCCAACTGTGGCGACTTTTAGAGGGACCTAGTGAGGTAGCAGAGACCACAGACAAATCAGCCAAAACCAGCCATGTGGTGTAGCGACTTTTGAAATTTTTTATTTTTTGAGAAATTTAAATTTATGTTTATAGTTTTCAAATTTACAGATTTTTCTCTACTTTATAGCGCTCTCTGGCAACGACTAATATTTTTACGATATACAAAACTATATTTCTAGATTTTTCTAGTGTGCAAAGCTAAAATCTTAGTTTCGAGGTTGTAAAAGGCGTGCAGAAATTCTGACATAATGTTTTGCTTTATAGTAGTTTGCATATGTGGTGTATACCTCAACGGCGGATTAAGCGGTAAAGAAACTATGCTGTTTTGTTGGGCCCTCGAGGTCTTTAAAATGCTACTGAAAAAAGGGATTGCAAAAATGCAGAAGATAAAAATAGTCCAGAAAAACGCTTCGATATACACATGGAGGTAATAAATGATAGTTTTATGGCCAACAATATTAATTAACAGATGCTGTTATTGATCATATTCTTTGAAAAACTAAAAAGTATTAGGAATATAGAGAATTTGAAATCAGTGTATAAAGACAGAGATGAAGTGAATTACAAAAGACTTTTTTATGATCGTTTTTACAGAAAGAAATCAAATAAAATTGTGGAAAAGAGAAATTGGCTGATATTTTCAGAAAGAAGCAAAAGTGTTTACTGCTACCCTTGCAAACTCTTTTCAACATCAAAGTCTAAATTAATAACTGGTTTATTGAGTAGCGACAAAGTAGCGACTTTTCAAAATATCTGTGGTGAAATCAGCGACTTTTATCTTAAAATGTAGCGACGTTTATTTATGAACGTTTAACAACACTGCTGCTCACCAACATGAACATTCTAATGAATGGCAGAAATGACTGATATTTTCAACGTGCCTATGTTAATTTGCCTAACTTAGGTTAGTGTAGTGATAATGGAACTCCTCATCCTCCCTTAACTGCGGTTTTGTTCGTCCAGCTGCAAACTATTTGCATGCAGTCATAAAGGGTAATAAGAAAATGACCATAAAAGGGAAGGAAAAAAAGGCGAAAAAGGGTGACAGGAGAAGTTCGGTAGAAGATCGGTAGAAGATCGGGAGAGAGCGGAAGCAGTAGTGAAGTGGTGGAGTCCGAAAGCGAAATTAAAGATTAAAGGTTTTTTTGTGTTACGATATTTGGTTGTTCGATTCTGTGTGACGAATCGGCGGAGCAAAATCCTTAATTCAAATCGGGTTATCTACAGTTAGGTTACAGTGTGAATACAGCAACATAGTCACTATACTTGTTTGTGAAAACAGGTAAGAATGCAAATAATAATATTAACATTATTTGATTAATATTAAGATTTCATTAATAGACACGTGACTAACGTCAAGTTTGTTATGTTGGGTTTTTGTTATTTCTGTAGGTAATTTTGTACTATTGTATTTGTATAGTGAAGTGATTTGCAATGTTAATTTGCAAAATCAAACTTTTTGCATTAGATACAGCTTCCGGATTTGAAAAATCATTTGCAATCGTTTGCAGTCCTTTCATTACTTCAGGTAATTGTAAATACAGCGCCTTTAATGCACTGGCCTTTGATGACCACCTTGTATCAGAAAAACTTTTAAGTGACAATTTTAGGCACTTCATTAAAATGTCCCAACGTGTTGTTGAGGACGAGAGAAAAAATTAAATAATCTCTGCACAGTACCAAAAAAGTAATCATTCCTGGAGTTGTAGATGCAACGTGGACACCAGCTAAATTTAGATTATGAGCTGCACAAGGTACAAATATTGCTAAATTATTAATTTCCAAAATACGTGCACTTACTCCTTTATGTTTGCCAGCCATATTGGCACCATTGTCAAATCCTTGCCCCCTGCAATCCTGAATATCCAATTTATCAACTTCTAGTTTATTTAAAATTTCAGTCGATAAACCTTCTCCTGTTTTTTCATGTGACTGAATAAAGTTGATGAAGCTTTCTTCAATCATTACCTTTCCATTACAGTCAACATGGACATATCTTATCATCTGACTCATTTGTTCTTTTCTTGAAACATCGGGGGGTGCAGTCGAATACAATGGTGTAGTACTTTGCTTTCTTAATTCTGCATATGATTTCATTTCTAGTTTTGTCCCCAACTAAATTTATTATTTCATTTTGAATAATGGGTGAGAAATAAGAAACAACCTTTTTTTTATGTTTTTCGATATGTTCCTTTAAAGTAGTATTATAATGGCTGGCAAATTCAATCAAATTTTAAAAAATGCCACAATTTGGATCTCCAATATTTTCATTTGAACCTCTAAGAGCAATATTATTTTTGGCACAGAATAGAATAGCATCCAATATTATTTTCAATATTTCACGCCCTATCATTTTTCCTTGTTAATTGAATTAACTACATAATCATTGATTGCATTTCCTAAATTTTAGATTTTTTTCCATCACTTTCCATTTCACATACGAATTTCGGTGCTCCGGAGAATTTTCGTGTAAAGGAATAACCGGATGAAGATGCCTCCAATCATGAAATTCTTTTTGTGGATCTGAAAGATTATGTGATTTGTGTCCAAAAAGCATGCAAGAAAAGCAAAATACTGCATTTTGATTAATGGAATATAAAATCCACTTTCTTTTAACAATTTCTCCATTAATTTGTTTAACATAAAACCAGTCCTTTGTAAATTTTCGCCCTGAATCATCTGCTTTCAACGTGTTAAAGTTAACGTTGTCACCTTGATCCGGACCATGTATGACAAGGGAATATATTAATTTATTTGTAATAGTTGGCCAGGAATGGGGATCGTTGTAATTTAGCAGTATTTCTTCTGGAACAGTAGAGCACATATTTTGTACAGTATTATCGATTTGAGAGACAGTACTTTGTGCAGGCTCGTCCTCTTTTGAATTATTATGGGGCAACTGTAGTAAAATATCTTGTGAAGTAGTAGATTTTACTTCTTGCAGTGGCTCCTTGTTTTTGCTTCTCTGAGAATTGTCGTTCATTGAAGGGGTAGATGTCAAATGTAGTGTTGAATCATCAGCTTGTGAAGCAGTAGTAGGTTTGACCTCTTCCGCACATCCTCTGTTCTCTAGTGTTTCTGTACTTAGCCATTTAACAAATTGTTGCGACATTGACTTGCATTCTTCTAATTTTCGTTTCCTTATATTTCTCTTTTGTGCACCCGACAGTTGCTTAGACATTTTTAAACTAGAACTAAACAAAAATATTATTTTTAACATGTTGCCTGTACAAGTATAAAACTGTTATAAGATACTGTAAACTGTATACTAACTATTATTTATAGAGCGAATGTGACGAAATATCATTTGCTTGGATTCCATCGTATCTAATATTCCTATGTTTTTTCCAACCAAACATTTTACAGAAAATAATAAAAACTAAAAATTCGTTGCATATAAAATTAATTATTAAAATTTTACTGTAAAACTTAAATGTACATAAAAAAGTACTAAACGAAATAGTCTACAAGTACATAAAAACTTAATTATAAATTTATCTGTACTCTTTCTATATGGAATAAAATTCTACAATGCATCGATCGAACAAATAAAGCATTACAACAGAAAGATTTGTCAATAGATTGTGGAACAAAATTAATTGCTGGATTACGTAGTACATTACAAGGGCTTCGAGATACAGGTTTTATACAAAATTTCCAGGAAGTACAAAATTTGGCAGAAGAAATGGGTATAGAAAAT